GCCCTTGGGCCATTCTCCGCTGCTTTCCCAGGTGCATTAGCAGGGAGCTGGATCAGACGTGGAGCAGCTGCGACTCCAACTGGCGGCTGTATGAGATGCTGGCATCACAGTGCATCACAGAGCTGGCCCCTCCTAGGAGTTTTAGAGTTTCAGGTTTTACACTTAAATCTTTTGAGTTGATTTTTGTGAATGGTACATAGTATGGATTCAAGTCCATGCTTTTATATGTAAATAGCAGGTATTCTCCAAACGACTGATTGAAGAGACGATCATCTCCCCATTATGTGATCTTGCTACCAAAGAGAAAATCTGATGACTGGAGTCTACTGTGGTCCACTGCTGTCCTCTGTTCTGTCCCGTTTGTCTGTCTGTTATTATGCACGTATCACACTCATTTGATTATGCTGTAATATATTTTTAAATTAGGAAGTGTGATGGCTTCCTTGTTCTTTTTGCTAAAAATTGCTTTGGCTATTTTGGGTCTTCTATGGTTTCTTAAAAATGCTAGGTTATTTTCCCCTATTTTCTATTTCCTATTAACCTATTTAGGTTATTTTTTCCTATCCCTGTGTCATTGGGATATTGCTAGGGATTGTGCTGAATCAGCAGTTCACTTGGGTTAGTATGAATATTCCAGCAATATTCACTCTTCCAATCCATGAACACAAGGTGACTTTCCACTTCTGTTTGTTTTAATTTCTTCATTAATGTTTTATAGATTTTAGCAGACTATGTTATATTTTCTTGGTTCAGTCTGTTTCTATTTTTTTTAATATTTAATTTTATTTATTTGAAAGAGAGAGACAGAGAGACTGAATGACTCCATATACTAGTTCACTCCCCAATGGCCACAAGAGTCTGGGCTGGGCAGGCCAAAGCCAGGAGCCTGGAGCCTCCTCTGGGTCTCTCACGTGGGTGCAGGGGCCCGAGCACGTGGGCCATCTTCCACAGCTTTCCTTGGTGCATAAGCAGGGAGGTGGGTGGGGAGTGGAACAGCTGGGACTCGAACCAATGCCCCTGTGGGATGCCAGAGCTGCAGGTGGTGGCCTTTCCTGCTACGCACAGCACTGGGCCCAAGTTTGTTTCTAAATATTTTGTTCTTGGTGCTACTGTGAGACTATGTTCTTATTTCCCTCTTGTATAATTCATTGTTAATATATCTAGGAATCCAACTAATTCTGATATGTAGATCCTTAAATCTGTGTATTAGATCTAAAAGTTTTAATGCGTGTGCTTTTTAGGATTTTCTCCGTACATGATCTTGTCATCTGCAAGTGGAGATCCGCTGATTTCTTCCTTGTTGAGCCGAGTGACTTTCCCTTTTCCTCCCTGGTTGCTGTAGCGGGACTCCCAGTACTGTCTGGAATGGAAGTGGACAGCGCTGGCCTTTTGTCTGGTTCCCGTCTTTCAGTTTCTCACCATCCAGCGTGCCGTGGCTGTGGGTGTTTCATTCGTGGCCCCCAGTGCGCTGAGCTGTCCCTAGAGGTCCTCGCCGTACGTAACTGGAGAGGCTTCATGCAGACGTACAAAGGTGGCCTTGTCATCATCTGCTGAGGTGATCCTGTGACTTCATCCTTCATCCTGCTAATGGGGTGTGCACCACTGACTGCCCTGCATGTGCGGAAGCACTTGTGTCCAGGGAGAATCCCGGTTGGCCATGGGGATGACCCTTTTCTGTGCCGCTGAATTTGGCTTGCTGACATTTTCCTGGGGATTTTTGCATCCATGCTCGTCAGGGATACTGACTTGGGTTCTCCTTTGTGGTGGTTGTCATTGTCTGGGATTGGTTTTAGGGCCATGCTGACCTCTTAAGAAGGGTTTGGAAATGTTCCCTCTTCTTCCATTTTTGGAAACGTTTAACACAGAGAGATGCTAATTCTCCTTTTATTGGAGAAGCCATCTGGTCCTGGGCATGTCTTTGTTGGAGAGTTTTTAATTACTGATTCAGTCTCCTCATTTACAATTGATTTGTTCTGGTTTTCTGTTCTTGACTCAGTCTTGGTAGGTTGTATGTTTCTTTCTTTTTTTTTTGTTTATTTGTCTTTTTTCTTAAAGATTTTATTTATTTGAGAGGTAGAGTTACAGAGAGAGAGAGAGAGAGAGAGAGAGAGAGAGAGAGAGGTCTTCCATCTGCTGGTTCACTCCCCAGATGGCCGCAACAGCTGAGCTGAATCGATCCAAAGCCAGGAGCCAGGAGCTTCTTCCAGGTCTCCCACGTGGGTGCAGGGGCCCAAGGACTTGGGCATCTTCCACTGCTCTCCCAGGCCACAGAAGAGAGCTGGATCGGAAGGGGCACAGCCAGGTCATCAACTAGTGTCCACGTGGGACTCCGGTACTGCAGGTGGAGGTTTAGCCCACTGTGCCACCGTGTGGGCCCGCCAGTTGTGTGTTTCTAAGAATTTATCCATTTCATTTTTTTGAAAATAATTGTTCATAATAGTCTCTTACAGTTCTTTTTATTTCCATGTCATTAGTTGTAATGTCTCCTCTTTTTTTTTTTTGTACTTATTTGGGCATTTTCTCATTTAGCATAAAGTTTGTTAATTTTAAAAATGTATTTTTTTGCATATTTGGAAGGAAACAGTGTGAAGGGGAGGGAGGGGGGAAGGAAGAGGGACAGGGAGAAAAGGGGACATGGGGGAGGAGGGAGAGATCACACTCTGTCTGCTGGTCCAGCCCCAGTGCCCACAACAGCTGGGAGCTGTCTGTCTCCCACGTGACTGGCAGGGACACAGGTCCCTACCCCACCATAGCAGCTTCAGTGTGGGATGCAGACTTCCCAGCAAGGCCTTAAGTGCCACACCACATGCCTGCCTGCGTGCCAATTTTATCTTTTCAAAAAACTCTTAGCTTTCATTTATTTCTGCTCCAGCGTTTATGATTCCTTTCCCCGTGCCAGCTTTGGGTTCAGTTTAGTTTGTTCTTTTTCTGGTTCCTTGAGGTGTGATGTCAGGTCATTGGGATCTTTTTTAAACGCAGGCATCTCTTTCTATAAACCCCTCAGTACCGCCTTCCACTGTATCCTAGAAGCTTGGTATGCTGTGCTTTCATTGTTGTCTTGAGACATTTTCTGATTTTTTAATTTTTTTTACTCAATGGCTGTTCAAATTTTTGCTGTTTAATTTCCACCTATTTGGGCATTTCCCAATGTCTCTGATTTCTGGTTTGATTTCACCGTGATTCAAGAAGCTGTTACATGGCATGTTTTCCATCTTCTTGAATTTTTTTTTATTTTATTTTTTGACAGGCAGAGTGGACAGTGAGAGAGAGAGAGAGACAGAGAGAAAGGTCTTCCTTTGCCGTTGGTTCACCCTCCAATGGCCGCTGTGGCCGGCGCACTGCGCTGATCCGAAGCCAGGAGCCAGGTGCTTTTCCTGGTCTCCCATGGGGTGCAGGGCCCAAGCACCTGGGCCATCCTCCACTGCACTCCCGGGCCACAGCAGAGAGCTGGCCTGGAAGAGGGGCAACCGGGACAGAATCCGGCGCCCCGACCAGGACTAGAACCTGGTGTGCCGGCGCCGCAAGGCGGAGGATTAGCCTAGTAAGCTGCGGTGCCGGCATCTTCTTGAATTTTTAAAACTTGTGTCGTGACCCAGCACGTCCTACATCCCAGAGAATGGCCCATGTGTGCTTAAGAGGAATGTGCAACCTGGCTCCTGCCTTCGGATCAGCGCGGTGTGCCGGCCACAGCGGCCATTGGAGGGTGAACCAATGGAAGGAAGACCTTTCTCTCTGTCTCTCTCTCTCACTGTCCACTCTGCCTGTCAAAAAAAAAAAAAAAAAAAAAAAAAGAAAAAAAAAGAATGCGCGAGCTTGTGCTGTTGGACAGAATGTCCTGGATATGACCGCTAGCTCGTCTGGCCCAAAGTGGGGTCAGGTCTGCTGTGGGGAGAATGCCATGTTCAAAAGTGGCCTGTGGAAGTCTTCCTGTTGCTGCACTGCTGTCTCTTCTCTTCAGATGTTGGCCTTCCCGGCTTTGCCTTCTCGGGGCTTGAGCGGAAGGTGCGTATTGGTGACTGACTGATTTCTTCCCCCACGACCCCGTGGGCCTGGCTCACCTCCCCCAGTGCCGCCGTTGTGAGCGCTGGAGGGAGGAGAGGCTCTGAGAGGAGACGAGGGCGAGGTGGGGCTCCTCCTCCTCCTCCCTTCCCCTCGTCCCCCTCGGGGGCTGCACCCTCTCACGCGGGGTCCACACATGGCTGCCGAGCTGCTGCTTCTGTGTGGACACGGGGACGGACACTTCTACTCTGCCACCTCGCCAGTCCCAGGTTTGTGCAGACGTGGCTCTGCTCCTCTGTGCCGGCACCGGGGGAAGAGCTGGCCAGGCCCCCACTTGGTCCCGTCCGCAGCTGCAGAGGAGGGGACGCAGAGCAGGACAGGAGCCAGTGGACAGCATTCGGCGGCGTTAGCCAGCATTTTCCAGAGACGGCGGCCTCGTGGAACTCATCTTCACAGGGCTTCCGTGCGGGCCTTTCCAACACAGATCTGATTGTGCCGCTCCCTGCTGAAGCTGTGGGTGGCACCCCAGCCCCCAGCCCCCAGCCCCCAGGAATAAAGGCAGCACTCGCCAGCCCCGCCTTCCTGCTGCTTTCTCCTCCCCTGGATGGACTTCTCCTCCCCACCCCCACGGTCCTCGCTCAAGCACACTGGGCCTCCCAGCACTGGGGGCTGGCCTGGGTGTCCCCTCTGTGGATGCAGCTGCAGGGAGCCCCGGGCGGGCCCCTGGGCGTGTTGTGCTTGGCTGCTCGCTCAGTTCCCAGCCTCCCCTGGGGCAGGGTGGCTGCAGCTGTGAGTGCTGGGAGGAGGGGGTGTGGTTCACCCATCACATGGGGGCTGAGGGCCAGTTCAGTTTACCAAAGCAAGGGCTGTTTGTTTCACTGCACGGGGCCTTGGCGACACCTGGGTCTAGCCAGGCACCCTCCTGGACGGGCCAGGGCCAGGGCCTGGGCAGGGGCTCCTGCCGCCCGCCTCACTCCCCGCACCCTCATCCTATCACTCACCTTTTCCGCTTTCTTCTTCCCCGCCGTGACTGGCAGTTCCTTCTCTCTGTTCACAGCGAGCTGCAGGTTCTTTAGTTCCTGTCTCATCAACTCATCCACCTGGGTGAGTACAGAACACGCCGTTTAAGCCCCTCTGTGCGCCTCATGGTGTATTTTTTTTCCCCAAAATGTACAAATCACTTAAGTTCTGGGGCAAGTCACTCATAGGGGACTGAGAAGACACACGAGCCGCGGTGCGGGATGTCACCACTGTACCCCGAACGTGGCTGCACCTGCACTCGGATCTCCGACTCCAGCTCCTTCCGTTTCTCCTCTTTGAGCAGTTCTGGGTCGTAGTCCTGAGGGAAGTTGCAAGACTCGTCTCTGTTCATCCACATGTCTGTACTCCACAAGGGATAAGGAAAAGATGGAGACACTTCAACACGCCGGCTAAAGAAAGCAGCGGTTGCATACAGAGCCAAGACTAACCTAGCCACGTGCACAGAGTACAAGTGTGAGTGAAACAGGCGAGAAAATGATAGGTCTCCCATCCAGATGTGAAGGGCTTGCTCCCAGGGAACCAGGCGGAGACAAGGTAGGGACAAACAGGAGCTGTGCCGCAGCTGATCATACAATGCAGGTCAATATTTCCACCATACGTTTTCCCGACACTTGAATTATTCAAACGGCTCACTACAACAGGAGCGGTTGTGTTACCCAGTGCAATCACTAGTAATTCTACCCTCGTTCCAGACAACGTGAAACACCAAGTACCCATGATTTTCTCCTAATTCAATAGCTTTATTTGTGAATTGCTTTTTGGATGTTTCTGAAGTCCCACCCATTTGAAATTTTCCTTTTCCTGGTATTTAGGAAGACCTAGAGAACTGTGACCCTAGAGAAAGTGAGGATAATTCTGCATGAGATACATTGACATGGAGGTCATCTCTCAGAAAGGAATTCTCGGAGGTGCGGGGTCACTGGGCCCTGGAGGCGGGGCCTGGGGGGCGTCTCCCCAGGGAAGGCCTGCCAGTTTGTGAAACAAGACCTCTTCCTGAGCCTGGGCTCAGCACCGGGGGAAACTCGCTGGGGCCTACCGTCCAGCAGCTGCGCCCGGCCTGGCTGAATCCCTGGGAACTGAGCTTAGGGCTGCAGTGCCCTTCAACTGGGGGCAGCAGTGGGGAGGGCCGCGGGAGCACTAGGACTCATCTCTGGGGGACAGGGGCTACAACTGGGAGGAAGGGAGGGTCGCAGAGGGCTCTCCACCTTGCCCCCCCCCCCAGAGCTCGGGTCCCGAGGCTGAGCCTCCACTGGCCCTGACGCAGCTCCTGGAAGGGGGAAGGGCGGCCCCGCATCTCCACGTTAGACACAAACCCACATCTGGTTGCTCCAGAGAACCCGAGTTCTCAGATACGGGTGGAGAGACGAGAAAGCCCCTGGAGACTGGTGTCGGCACACAAGGGGAGGTCAGCATCCAGAGAAGTCACGGAGGACCAGGGATCGGCAGAGGGGAGGGATGACCGAGAACGGACAAGGAGTCCAGGCAGGGCCAGATCCCTGGAGAGACGGTGACGCACGGCGAGGAGACGCGCGTGGCAGCACTGCCGAGGGGGCAGGAAGGGCATCCCGGGGCTGGGGCCCCGGCGCCCGCCTGGCAGCACCGCCGGCAGGTCCATGCTTGGCGTCGGGTGGAACCCTTGTCCCTCCTCTCACCAGCTGTGACCTTAGGTGACCGTAGCCCTGCTGAGCCTGTTTCTTCCTCTGAGGCATGGAAATCTTACTCCCTCCTAGCCCTGGGGCGAGGCTGAAGTGGAATAAGCCTCCTGAAGTCCCCAAGTTAGTTCTCAACTGTGGCCTCTCACAAAGGCCTTCTCTTGCTCTGAGACCGCGCCCTGCAGGACAGCTGCCCACGAGAAGCGTTTGTGCCCAAGAGCAGACACCTGTCAGACAGAGGAGGAGGTGGGCTCCGAGGGCCAGAGCCTGTGCTGTCTGTAGTGGCCTGAGCCAGGGCCCTGCAGGATGGACAGCTGTCAGCGGAGGGGAGGTGGAGACACAGCTCCTTTCCAAAAAGAGCAGGTCTGCAAGCATAACTCACCCTGCACAGGTGAGGGAGGCCACCTGCTTCCTGGACAGATGTTGGCACAGCTGGCTCAGCAGGTGGCGGCCAGAGCGGAGCTGCCTGGGCCCAGAGGGCTGAAGGGCAGGGCTGTGAGAGCCGCGGCTCAGCCTGGCCTCGTCACCAGGCGTGCAGGGCAGGTGTGTGGGGGATGCAGGGCTGCAGGGGCAGGCTTTGGAGACAGCGAGGTGGAAAGGATCTGAATTTCCTCCAGAATGGTTAAACATGGATAAGCAATGAGATAGAAATAAATCACACTTTTTCACTGACCAGACAGGGCAACCACAGGGGAGATGGCCTGGGGAGTGGAGGTCGGAGAGGGTGTAGGTATTGCCCATTGGAAGTGCACAGGAGGGCCCTTACCCTCCAGAACTGAGGTAGGAGCAAAAGGGAGAGGGACCCGTCGAGGTGGGCAGGCAGGAGACAGCTGGAGACCCCGGGCTGATCTCTCTTTTTAAGTAATTGTTCCTGGGTGTGGGGGGGGAGGTGACACCAGAAAGGGCACAGATGCACTGTCCAGCTCATGGCACTGATGCAAGGACAATTTTATGTCATTAATATTGGGAGATTTATTCTTCGTCTTGAATCCCTACAGAGAGTAGACTTGTGGTTAGCTTGGGTGTGGATACCAAGGTCTCAGCTAGTTTATGGCCTCCTCGTTTGAAGGTGGTTGCTCTTTTTTCAGTACATTTTCTGAAATGTAAATAAGCTTAGACTGTGGGAAACTTTAAATTGTAAGAATAACAATTGCTTTTGTTTTTTGGGTTTAAAATTGTAAGCTCTCAGTTTTCATCATGATGAAAACCTTCAGCCAATTGGATAGAGAAGGAACGTTCTTCAATACCATCAAGGCAATTTCTGGCAAACCCATAGCCAGCATCTTACTGAACTGGGAAGAGTTGGAAACATTTCCACCAAGATCTGGAACCAGACAAGGATGCCTACTCTCACCACTGCTATTCAATATAGTCCTGAAAGTTTGAGCCAGAGCCATTAGGCAGGAAAAAGAAATCAAAGGGACACAAATTGGAAAGGAGGAAGTCAAATTATCCATCTTCAGATGACATGATTCCACATATGTGGGGACCAAAGACTGCACTGAGAGACTGTTGGGACTCATGAAAGAGTTTGGTAAAGTGGCAGGATGTAAAATTAACACACAAAAACCCAAAGGCTTGTACACACAGACAGTGTCATGGCTGAGAAAGAACTTCTAAGATCAATCCAATTCATAATAGCTACAGAAAAAATTAAATATCTTGGAATATATTTAACCAAGGAGGCGAAAGAGCTCTAAAATGAAAATCATAAAACATTAAAGAAAGAAATGGAAGAAACAAAAAATGGAAACAGCTTCCATGTTCATGGATTGGAAGAATTAATATCATCAAAATGTCCATACTACCGGAAGCAGTTTACAGATTCAATGCAATCCCAATCAAAATACAAGGACATTCTTCTCATATCTAGGAAAAATGATGCTAAAATTCATATGGAAACACAAGAGACCCTGAATAGCTAAAGCAATCTTATACAACAAAAACAAAGCTGGAGGCATCACAATACCAGATTTCAGGACATACTACAGGGAAGTTATAATCAAAACAGCATGGTACTGTCACAAAGAGAGACATGTAGACCACTAGAACAGAGACTCCAGAGATAGATCCATGCATCTACAATCAAGTAATCTCTGACGAAGGAGCTAAAATCAAGCCCTGGAGAAAGGGCAGTCTCTTCAACAAACGGTGCTGGGGAAACTGGATCTCCACACGCAGAAGTAAGAAACAAGACCCTGCCTTACACCTGAGACAAAAACCAGCTCAGAATGGATCAAGGATCTAACCTAGGACTTGATTCCATTAAACTACTAGAGGAGAACGTTGGGAAAACTCTGCAAGACACTGGCATAGCCAAAGACTTCTCAGAAAAGACCCAGGAGCACAGGCAATCGAAGCCACAACTGACAAATGGGATCCATTAAGCTTAGAAGCTTCTGCACTATAACGTAAACATTCAGCAAAGACGAAGCAACTGACAAAGTGGGAGACGTAGCTGCAAACTACACGACTGATAGAGGATGGATATCTATAACCTACAGAGAACTCAGGAAGCTCAACAGTAACAAAACAATCTGGTTAAGAAATGGGCAAAAGGACTTGAACAGGCATTTTTCAAAAGGGGAAATTCAAATGGCCAATAGATACACACACTCAAAAATGCTCAGGGTCACTAGCCATCAGGAAAATGTAAATTAAAGCCCACAACGAAGGTGCACCTCACCCTGGTTACAAAGGCTCTCATACAGAAATCAACAAACAATAAATGCTGGTGAGGATGTGGGGAAAGAGACTCCCCAATTTACTGTTGGCAGAAATGTAAACTGGTGCAGCCACTGTGGAAGACAATATAGAGATACTTCCCAAGTCTGAAAATCAATGTGTCATATATGACCTAGAAATACCACTCCTGGGAAGTTGCCCGAGGGAAGTGAAGTCAGCATATAAGAGAGTTATCTCTACCCCCACGTTCACTGCAACAGAATTCACAATAGCTAAGGTGTGGGGTCAACCCAGATGTCCATCAGCTGGTGACTGAATAAGGAAATTATGGTATAGACACACCATGGAATACTACTCAGCTGTGAAAAATAATGAAATCTCTTTTGCAACAAAATGGATGCAACTGGAAACCATTATACTTAATGAAATAAGTCAAAGACAAAGACCATTGTTTTCCCTGACCTGTGGTAACTAAGAGAGCACCAAAATGTAATGCATAGGAGGGAAAGTAACATTTTGAGATTCGAATGATTATTTATAGCCTTTCTCTAATATTGAGGAAGTTTTTTTCTTACTGTTTGTTGAATTCTTTACTTGGCATGGGGTTAATTTTATGAGTATCAAGTAAACTGAAAACAGATTATTGTGAAAATTAAGAGAGGGGATAAGAGAGGAGGGAGGAGGAAGGGTAAGAGTGTGGATGGGAGGGGGGAGGGTGGGGAGTATCACTATGTACCCAAATCTGTGTGTATCAAATACAGGAATTTGTATGCCTTAAATAAAATTTAAAAAACAGTAAAAAAGAAATTACAAGCTCTCCCTCTTGACAACAGTAGGAAAGGTTTCAGTGTGTCCTGTACGCTGGGGTCAAACAGGTTTCCCGTGGCAGGATCACAATGCGAAACCTGCCTGTTGTGTCTAGGAGGTCTCTAAAGCAAAATAGCTTTGCTGTTCACAGGACGCAGCCTTTTTTTTTTTTTCAATAGACAGGTTCGGGAAGATGGCGGGATAACACAGACAGTAATAAAAGGGATGCGGAACACTGAACAGGAAGGCGACAGTGGCGCGGGGGTTGCTGGCAGGCCAGTTGGCGTCGGCCACCTGCATTCTCGGCACCACACAGCAGCTGCTGCCCACTCCCCCCGGATCACTCGGCCGGCCGGGCTCTCCACCAGCACTCTGCTTTTCTCACGACACTGCTGCACAGGGCACTGCCCAGTCCCTGCAAGAATCTCATGGACATTCAGAAAACGCAGGGAGCTATTCAGGGTCCTCAAAGACAACCACTGCCCCACTTTCTCCTCCAGCACAGAATGGGCTTTTATCTGAGAATGCGAAAGGGGGCCAGGGCAGCTTCACACATCGGGGGAGGGTGACACAGGAGGGGAGGGTTTAATCTCAGAGATTAAAATGCTGATGTTTTACTTGAAAAGGGAAACTTTGGTTTCTAAGAAAATAGTTCTAAGACACAACATTTAATGGAAGTCACCAAAGACCTGGCAGAGAGCACACCCAAAGCCACAGCACCCAACTCAACCGGGAGAAGAGGCTACAGGCTTCCTTCCCGGGAAGGGCACTGCCTGGCTCTGAGCCCCAGTGCACCCAGCTGTCACACGGACGGTGTGCAGTCCATGGACACAGCTGTACACGGACGGTGTGCAGTCCATGGACACAGCTGTCACACAGTGTGCAGTCCATGGACACAGCTGTCACATGGATGGTGTGCTGTCCATGGACATAGCTGTCACACGGACGGTGTGCAGTCCACGAACACAGCTGTACACAGACGGTGTGCAGTCCATGGACACAGCTGTCACACGGTGTGCAGTCCATGGACACAGCTGTCACACAGATGGTGTGCAGTCCATGGACACAGCTGTACACGGATGGTTTGCAGTCCATGGACACAGCTGTCACACAGACGGTGTGCAGTCCATGGACACAGCTGTACACGGATGGTTTGCAGTCCAGTGGACATAGCTGTCACATGGACGGTGTGTAGTCCATGGACACAGCTGTCACACAGTGTGCAGTCCATGGACACAGCTCTCACACGGATGGTGTGCAGTCCATGGACACAGCTGTACACAGATGGTGTGCAGTCCAGTGGACATAGCTGTTACATGGACGGTGTGCAGTCCATGGACACAGCTGTCACACGGTGTGCAGTCCATGGACACAGCTGTCACATGGACAGTGTGCAGTCCATGGACACAGCTGTCACACGGATGGTGTGCAGTCCATGGACACAGCTGTCACACGGACAGTGGCAAAGTCCAGCAGAGCACAGCTGTCACACGGACGGCACAGGCGGTCTGAAGAGCTTTCCTGCATGGGTTACCAGGCTGCGAGCCCTGGCTTCTCATGGCAATGTCTGACTTTCCCCTAGCTAAGTTTTGCTTTTATTAGGATGTAATACATGCACATTCTTTTAAACAAGGAATATTAAAAGGATAATAGAAAATGCCTCACCCTGCCTGCCTTCCTGCCCAACGGCATTTATCCCTGGGCTCACCCATCCTAGTAACGCCCCCCAGTGGGCACATTCATGCAGGAATCTTCTAGGCTAGCATAGCCCCGGCCCTGGAGACGCTCAATGCGCAGAGTGTGCGGGTGAGCGCACAGTGGGGGTGGCTGCTCCGTGCCCCGTGTGGTGAGGAGTTGGCCACCTTTCCAACCTGGGTGACATCAGTCTTCTCAGAACCTGCTGAGACGGAGACCACGGGTCTCTCTCCCTGTTCCGAGGATTCCATGCGACTGGCAGGGGAAGACCGAGCCCCACATGTTGGAATGTTAGTTCCCCGCTGCGGCCTCCTCCCTCCCCAGTGACAGCAGGGGCAGAGCCCCCGTGTCATGGCTTGGTGAGTTGCGGCGCCCTCCCACTGCGGGGTGGAGAACTGTGGGTGCCCAGGCCTTCTTATCCCCTGTACGCAGCACATCGGACCTCAGGTGAGACTCCACGTACTGGGGCGAGAACCTTGAGTCTAAGAACCGGCAGAGTCCAGGACCCTACCCGTGCCGTCCAGAGAAGAGCGGAGCGGGGAGGAGGCACGTGAAGGCTGCCATTTGGAATGACTCCCCGCCACATCCTGACTGGCGTGTTCAGGAATTCCAACAACAGCACTGCCGGCCAGGGTCGCGCTCGGGTCACTGTGTCAGGATTCGTCCTGAGTGTGCAGGAGAAGCCCTGGTGTAAGGGAACCGTCTGAAAGACCAGTCCAGACACTTGCTGAGTGCAGCTATGCTAGTTACGCTGAATTATGTCAGAACTCAGACACACGTCTAATAGGATTAAGAAACGTCGCTGTACAGTGTCTCGACTGTCTTCATTTAAACGACCTGGGAAGCAGCTTTCTTCCCCAGCACCACGTGGCAGGACGACCAGCTGAAGTCGTGGGCTCCAAAGGCGCAAAAACAGAATAGAAGGGAAGCTTTGATGACTCCAGGGTGCCGTGACGCCACCAAACGCAGGACAGAATGTCGTGGCCGTGAGCTGCGGCCGGCAGCCTCTGGTGACCGCGCCCGGAGCTGGACAGAGGGACCCCTTGGTTATCAGAGTCACCATCGAATCCTCCCAGACTGACCTCTGTATGAGTTATTTTCTTCCTCCAAGGTATGAAGGAAAACGCTGGGGGACATTTTCCACCCCTCCTCTTCCTCCTGTTCAAAGCAGAGTAACACGTTTGTTAATACAGGCCCGTCCAGGTGTCAAGGCCAGACAGCCGCGGATGGGGGCGCTGCACCTGCCGTGACTGCGACGTAGGTCAGGAAGGCGTGACCTTGTCCTCCTGGCCGGTGCCCTGCCGGCCCATCTGAGCAGGGCACGCTGCACCCGCCAGCCAGGGCGGGGCGGCCCCCGCGGCCCCCGGCTCTCCCTTCTCGGCGGCCGCCCCGCCTGGGGCTGCTCTGCTAATGCTCTGCCTGCTCCTGCCCTGCCTGCTCCTGCCCTGCCCGCTCCTGCCCTGCCTGCTCCTGCCCTGCCTGCTCCTGCCCTGCCTGCCCCTGCCCTGCCTGCTCCCTGCCCGCTCCTGCCCTGCCTGCCCCTGCCCTGCCTGCTCCTGCCCTGCCTGCTCCTGCCCTGCCTGCTCCCTGCCTGCTCCCTGCCCTGCCCGCTCCTGCCCTGCCTGCTCCCTGCCCGCTCCTGCCCTGCCCTGCCCGCTCCTGCCCTGCCTGCTCCTGCTCTCCCTCCTCCTGCCCTGCCTGCTCCTGCCCTGCCTGCCCCTGCCCTGCCTGCTCCTGCCCTGCCTGCTCCTGCCCTGCCCGCTCCTGCCCTGCCTGCTCCCTGCTCTGCCTGCTCCTGCCCTGCCCGCTCCTGCCCTGCCTGCTCCCTGCTCTGCCTGCCTCCTTGCCGGGTTCCCTGCCTGCTCCTGCCTGGTGCCCTTCCCCACATTCCTGTATCTGGGCGTTGGCTCTGTGTCCCGTCCTCTGCCACGTCACCCTCCAGGACTTGGCTTCTACAGGACCAGGTGGCTCCCTCTTCTGGCTCACCTGTCCCCTCCCTGGCCTGGAAGCCACCCTGAGCCGAGCCAGGAGCTGCAGCCCCTGCTTCCTTCCTGGAGCCGGGCCTTGGGGTCCCTGTCCCCTGCAGGGACAGCCCTGCCGTGTCTTCTCTGGCTCGCTGCCCATTCGGCGGCTCTGACATGGGAGACAGCAGCAACATCTACCACCCGCCCAGGACACGCCTCTTCTCTGAGCCCCGGCAAGACAAGGCCTCAGGCCCGAAGCCTCCAGGTCCACCTGCTCCTGACCCCAGGATCCAGGCCTTGCCGATCCCTGTCTGACCTCTCCGTGCGTCAGGTTTCCAGTGACCGGCTTCCTGGCTGTTACCACCCCAGGCAGAAGGAGCGCTGCTGGCCTGTGCTGTGCCCACGTGAGGTTTCCAGAGCGCTCTCAGGACCTTCCACGAGCTAGGGCGGGAGTGGACAGTCTGCCGGCCACAGCCCACTCCTCTCCACGCGCTGCTCCCAGAGCCGCAGCCCTGGGCGCCTGACGTGCCCTTCCTTTCCCAGACTCATGCCCTGGTGGCCGAGTCGTGTCTGCCTCAGGTCCCCACGATTACTCCCCCTGCCCCGAGGCTGAGCAAGCTGCGAGCCGGCTTCTTTTGTCTCTGCAGCTTTCCTAGGGCCTCTCCCTCCCCCTGGCCCAGTCCTGCCGCTCTGGCCGAGGACACGAGGCCGAGGGACGGGACCATGGGAGGACTGTGCAGCTCCTGGAGATCAGGGCACCGCCGCAGGAGCCTGGTGCGAAGGCACCGGCCCAGGGACAAGGCTCCGGCTGGAACGGGGCTCAGGGAGCCCCGGGGGAGGCACAGGTGCCCTCTGAGCACGGCTGCCTCCCCTGTCTTCATTGGTGGAAACACCACTTGTGCCCTCCTCTGTGAAGCCATTCTGGGTTCTCCCAGGTCACAGACCTCGCCCCTGCTCCGAGGCCTGTGTGTGTACTTCCCGGCCCCTGCTTCTCACACTCATCGTTGGCCTTCTGCATGCGTGCGACCGCTCGCTGGGGCTGGAGGACCCCTCACGCAGGGCTCTGGCTGCTGTTTCTACTCCGCCCAGCGCTGCACAGTGCCTTGCACGGGTCAGGCGTGGATGGCACGCGAGGGGAAATGACATTTACAGAGAGACCCCAAGAGGGCAGGTTAGGAAGGCGCTTGCTGCTCCAGCCCAGGGAAGATAGTTCTAAAAAACGTGGAGAGTGCAGTCTCAGGGAAGAGTGGGGGAAACGGCAGAGGGAACTCCACGCAGATTAGAGGGACCCTGTGGACCTACGCGGAGGGCGTGGACGCCCACAACTCAGGACCCGGCAGACAGGGGCTCGGCCCCAGCTCTGGAGTGAGGTGAGACCAGGCAGCTGCAGCCCACGCTGCAGGAAGAGCCTGGCTTAAGTCTGGCCTGGAGCCCTGCGGGGACACTGTACCTGCCAACCTAGAGGGACAAAAGGGGGAACGTTTCTCTCTCCCCACCACCTGGCACCTGTGTCCCGTAACCAGCCGAGAGCAGGCAGGCGCCATTTTGGACATACATAACAGCTGCACCAGCTGGTGTCCGTGTGCCCAGCAACCAGCTGAGAGGAGACGCCCGAGTCTGGCTGGGAGAACCGACAGGCGGCTGCGTCTCGTGACTGTGGCAGGCCTGTGTGCCAGGACTGTGAGAACACTGTGGCTGCATGGGAGGGTGCAGGGCGTGGCTGGGAACGTTGGGCAGTCACTGTGGCTGCTCCACACGCTCCGGGCTCCCTGATTCCCTGGTGAGGGTCATTGCTGTGGGGTCTCTGCTCCCACTGAGGACGGCATGGATCCTGTGTGTGGTTCTTGTGGCAGGTGGATGAATACTGCACCCACTGGGGCTGGCACCCAGGCACTGGTCTCCTTCGAGGAGGGGAGTGAGTGTGAGACTAAGTCAACAGAGCTGAACAAACCTCTCTGATTAAAAAAAGAAAAATAAAGCTTTACCACGCCCAGTTTGAGAGTCACTTTGGACTTTCCCCTCACCCTGGACACGGAACAGAGTTCCCTGGCCACACCCAGGACACGCCTCAGGGTCGCTGCTGAAAGGGAAGACACTGTCCTAATGCACAGAGGCACAGTCCAAAGATAAAAGCCGCCACAGGGGAAAAATAACCAACAAATATCTCCACAAATGCCTGAAGGAAGCGCAGCAGTTCAAGACAAGAGTAAGGAAGACAACATGACGCCCCCAAAGGAACAGAACACTTCAGCGGTGGATCGTGAAAACAGACTAAAGAAATGCCAGAAACAGATCAGAAACTGATGGCAGGATTACTCAGGAGCAAACCCACAAACTAAAGAAATCCGTATCTGACAGGAAAGAAAATTTTCCCAAGAAATTGAGATTTTAAAGAGAAATCACAACAAAATATTGGAAATGAAGAATTCAATAGAACAAATAAAAATGTGGTAGAAAATCTTAACAACAGAACTGGTGAGGCAGAAGAAAGAATCTGACTTAGAAGACGAATCTGTGGAAATTTTGCAGTCAGAAATTAAAACAGTGTTGGAGATACCATCAAATACCCCAACATATGGGTCTTAGTTCCTGAGGGTGTAGAAAGCCAGAACGGATTAGAAGGCCTTTTTAGTGAAATAATTAGAGAAAACTTCCCTAATTTGGAGAAAGAAAGGAACATCCGAGTACAGGAAACACACAGAACTCCTAACAGACGAGAAAAGATCTTCACCACAACACAGTGTAGTCAAACTCTCCACAGTAAAACATAAACAGATTCTAAAATATACAGGAGAGAAACGTCAGATTACTTTCAGAGGCTCTCCAGTTAGACTCACAGCAGACTTCTCATCAGAAACCCACAGGCTGGGGCCAGCGCTGTGGCACCGCAGGTTAACACCCTGACCTGAGTGCCAGCATCCCATGTGGGCGCCAGTTCAAGTCCCGGCTGCTCCTTTTCTGATCCAGCTCTCTGCTGTGGCCTGGGAAAGCAGTAGAAGTGGCCCACCCTGCACCCACGTGGGAGACCCAGAAGAAGCTCCTGGCTCCTGGCTACAAATTGGCGCAGTTCCAGCCATTGTGGCCAACTGGGGAGTGAACCAGCGGATGGAAGACTTCTCTCTCTCCCTCTCTCTCCCTCTCTCTCTCTCTCTCTCTCTCTCTCTCTCCCTGTCTCTCTCTCTCTCTGCCTCTCCTCTCTCTATGTAACTCTGATTTTCAAATAAATAAATAAATAAATCTTAAAAAAAAAAAAAGAAACCCACAGGCTAACAGAGAACGGCGAGATATATTCCAAGTCTTAAGAGAAAAAAAACTGTCAACCCAGAATACTGTACCCTTCAAAGCTCTCATTTATGAATGAAGGTGAAATAAAGACCTTCCATAACAGAAACTGAAAGAATTTGTCACCATTCGTCCAGCCTTACAAAAGATGCTTAAGGATGTGCTACACAGAAACATGGTCATAACTATCAAAGAGGGTGAAGGCAGAAAATCTCCCAGTAAAAGTACAAAGGAAATCCAAAGTGAACAAAAGGGATATTTATGGGAAAATGGCAGGACCAAGTCACTACTTATCAACAGTCAGCTTGAATGTAAATGGCCTCAACTCTCCAGTTAAAAGACACAGACCGGCTGAATGGATTCAAAAACAAAACCCATCTATTTGCTGCCTACAAGAAACACATCTCACCAACAAAAATGCAGGCTGACTGAAAGTGAAAGGTTGGAAAAAGATATTCCATGCCAACAGAAACCAAAAAAGAGCTGACACAGTCATCCTGATATCAGACAAAATAGACTTTAACACAGAAACTGTTAAGAGAGACAAAGAAGGGCACTATGCAATGATTAAGGGATCAATTCAACAGGAAGCTGTAACTATTATAAACGTAATTACAGGGCACCGGGCTATTTAAAAGAATGTGAAGAGATCTAAACGGAGACATAGACTCCCACACAACAGTGATGGGGACCTCAATACCTCACTTTCAGCAATGGACAGATTAGCCAGCAGAAAATCAGCAAGAAAACAACATTTAATTGACACCCCAGACCAAATGGACCCAACAGATTCTACAGAACTTTTCACCCCACAGTTGCAGAATACACCTGCTTCTCACCAGTGCATGGAACCTCCTCTAGGACTGACCACAGGAGGCCATAAAGCAAGTCTCAGCAAATTCAAAAAAATTG